GAGGTTTAGATTGAACATTAGGAAGGAATTTTTCACCCAAAGAGTGGTCAGACACTGGAACAGGCTGCCCAGGGAGGGGGTGGAGTCCCCATCCCTGGCTGTGTTTAAGGGCCGTTTAGATGCAGTGCTGAGGGACATGGTGTAGGAGAGGACTTTGTAGAGTAGGGGAGATGGTTGGACTCGATGATCCCAAGGGTCTCTTCCAACCTAGACCATTCTATGATTCTATGATTCTATGTTACAGATCTGCTCATGTCTGGGTTTCTGTCATCTGTCACGGTGGCATCAGCCTCAGGGTTGGTACCTCCAGCGTTAACCCGGCCAGCTCTCAATCTGGGCTGTGCCCTGGCACATTTCTTTTCACCGGGGCTCTTTGATGGAAGTAGCTTCCCTCGTGCCTTGGAGAAAGGACCCGAATCCCAAGAGACGTGGAGATTCCACATTTTAGTTTATCTCAAATGGTTGTTCCGAGAGATGAGCTTTGTCTTGTGCTTTGGCATTAATGGTTTCTCTCTCTCCTGCCAGGTATTACTGTAACGTCTGCGACTGCGTGGTGAAGGACTCTATTAACTTCCTGGATCACATCAATGGCAAAAAACGTAAGGATCATTCTTCTGCCTTGTTGGGGGGCTGCTGCTGTGCCCTGGGCTCTTCCCCTCACGCCTCAGCGGTGTCTGAGGGCTCAACACCTACACACAGGTATATCGGAGAGCAGGATGGAGCCAGCGTTTGCTCATGAGAGCTGGGGAGACGCTCTCTTTATCTCCTGGCACTTCTCTGGGCTGCAGCACCATTCGTATGGAATAAGCCCAGAAGAAATAGCGATTGGTTCGCTCTGATTAGGGGGACTAATTTTCCCCAGTTAGGGTGTCTGTGATGCGGGAAGCCCAGGGGCAGCAAATCCCAGTGTCTCCTCTGAAAATCTGGAGACAGGCTTTTCTACGGCACTGAAGAAATTCTTAGATAAGTAAAAGGTATGGGACTTAGATAAGTGAAAGGTATGGGACTAGCCCATCTGGGGATTGGAAGCTTCTCTTTGTAGAAGCTGAGCATGAAGCTCAAAACTAGCTGTTCCCTGAGCTCCAGAGTGTGGATCAGAGTTTACCAGGACAGAGGATGAGGATGAGCGCAGGACGGGGGGCAGTTTGACCCAGAGCTGCCGTGTGGTGCTGCTGTTGTCCTGTGCAGCTCTCCTGGCAGCCCTCTGACCTCCTGCTGTGTAGTTAGAGCTTCCGAGTGCTGCTGCATCCCTGGGACAAACCTGAGCACAGCTGTCTGCATCTACCAGGCAGTGGGGGCTGGAGACATCACCAGGGATGGCCTCTTCACCCTTTGGCTTACTCATGAGCTGAAGTGTGTGAATCAGGTCTATGAAGACAGGCTGAGAGAGCTGGGGGGGGTCAGCCTGGAGAAGAGAAGGCTCCGGGGAGACCTTAGAGCCCCTTCCAGTCCCTCAAGGGGCTCCAGGAAAGCTGGGAAGGGACTCTGGATGAGGGAGGGGAGCCATAGGAGGAGGGGGAAGGGTTTGACACTGAAAGAGGGGAGATGGAGCTGAGCTATGGGGAAGAACTTGTTTGGTGTGAGGGTGGTGAGAGCCTGGCCCAGGTTGGCCAGAGAAGCTGTGGCTGCCCCATCCCTGGAGGGGTTCAAGGCCAGGCTGGAGGGGGCTGGGAGCAACCTGATCTAGTAGAAGATGTCCCTCTATATGGCAGGGGGTGGGACTGGATGGGCTTTGGAGATCCCTTCCAACTCTAACCATTCTGTGATTCTAGGAATCTGCTCTATACAGCCACTGAATCAGAGGCTGTCTCAATATTCCTTGGGTTTGCTTTAGCTAGAAATGTCCTCAGGATCTTCTGCTGGGACCCACCGATGTCTTGTTTAGCTTCTCCCACAGCAGAGAGATGCCAGCTTGCCAGTTTTATTCTAGCCCCTTTTTCAACACCCCAACCTTTTTTTTTTCCACTGGTCCAAAATTAAATTTTCTGATGTGTCAGAACACCAACATGTTGGAGAGCATCCTAATGGGGAACCTTAAGAGAATAAACTATGCCTTCCTCCTTGTAACGTATCATTGTAGTCACTGCCTGGTTTAGGTTATGGTGTCCCCCTGAAGCCCATTCCCTCTGACATAAGAATTCCCAGTCTGTGTAGGAATATGTGACCAGTTGAGGCCAGAAAGTGCGTGTCTCTCTGGGGGAGGAGATACCTTTGTGTCACACTCCCCAGGCTGGGTTACCTGCCACATTGGTGGTGAGATGTGGTGTGGAGAGGAGGCTCTGGAGGCTGGGCTGTGTCTGGGAGCTGCTCTGAGGGGATGGATGACAGGGAGAGGCTGCCGTGCTGAGGAATTTAAATTTGGATCAGGGACGGGGGGCTACATGCAGATCTTCCAAGGCCAAGGGTATTGCTGACCGTGGCTGGTTCCTCTCCTGTTTTCCAGACCAGAGAAATCTGGGCATGTCCATGCGGGTGGAGCGCTCCACGCTGGACCAGGTGAAGAAACGTTTTGAGGTGAACAAGAAGAAAATGGAGGAGAAGCAGAAGGACTATGACTTTGAGGAGAGGATGAAGGAACTCCGCGAGGAGGTGAGTCCGGGCAATGGCTGACGAAGCAAAGCCCCCCAGAAACGTGTTTCCTGAGGAAAAGGAACTAGGGTTGATACCAAGTAGGGTTGATACCCTAGTTCCTAATCTTGTTCCTCAGAAGGCTTGTTCATGGTGGTGTGGACTACTTGTCTGCTGCTGTGAGTGGGTTTTGTTTCTTTGTTGTTTGCTTTTTAAAAAGATTTTGGCTGCTGTCCCTGGAGACCCCTCCTGCTGTGGGAGGGTAAGGTTTGGTGCTTCAGGATGTCAGCACAGCCCTGACAACACCCCTGGGTTTTGTCTCCCGTTAGCTGTGTTTGAACTTGTGTGTGTGTGTGTGAACTTGTGTGCTCTGATGAGCAGATCTGTCTCTTTGCCCCTTGTCAGCCATTGGAATCATCTCCCCAGGGAAGTGGTGGATTCCCCAGAATTGGACACTTCTAAGATTTTAAGACAGGGTGCTGGGCCGCCTTGTCTAGACTGTGCTTTGCCAAGAAAGTTTGGACCAGATGATCCTTGAGGTCCCTTCCAACCTGGTATTCTATGATTCTTATCTTTCTTCCATGGTTCTTGGGATTCCTGGGCTTCCTTCTCCAGGTGGCACATCACTTCTGTGTGGCCTCCCCGAGCACGGAAAGGTTTTGTGAGGGGTGCTGTGGTGTGAGATGTGCCCGGAGGCAGCGAAAGATTCCTCTCAAACCTGGGCCTGGCTGTCAGCTCACAATTATCAAGTTTACCTAAAAGCCTGACCACGTTTTGACAGTTGAGGAGCTTCTATGGAGCTTCTCCTCCATCGGCAGCCATGGAATCCAGTTTGGGCTCCCTACCACAAAAAAGACATCGAGGTGCTGGAGCGGGTCCAGAGAAGGGCAATGGAGCTGGTGAGGGGTCTGGAGCACAAGTCTTATGAGGAGAGGCTGAGGGAGCTGGGGGTGTTCAGCCTGGAGAAGAGGAGGCTGAGGGGAGACCTTATTGCTCTCTCCAACTCCCTGAAAGGAGGGTGTAGAGAGGTGGGGGTCGGTCTCTTCTCTCAAGTCACAGGCGACAGGACAAGAGGAAATGGCCTCAAGTTGCCCCAGGGGAGATTCAGGCTGGATATTGGGAAATTTTTTTTTCACTGAAAGAGTCATCAGGCATTGGAATGGGCTGCCCAGGGAGGTGGTTGAGGCCCCATCCCTGGAGGTGTTCAAAAGACGGGTTGATGTAGTGCTGGGAGGTCTGGTTTAGTGATGATGCTCCTTGTTTGTTGTGTGGGTGTCTATTTTTGTCAAAGTTAGGGTGACAGTTGGACAAGATGATCTTTAAGGTCCCTTCCAACCTAGAAGATTCTGTGATTCTGTGATGACCAAACATTAAGACTTTCTGCCCGTTTGAGCCTCGTCTCGCCACGGGGTCGCTCTGTCGGGGTGCGCGGGCATCAGCCCTGTGCTCCGCTCCCCACCATCCAACCTAGAAGATTTTGTGATTCTGTGATGACCAAACGTTAAGACCTGCTGCCCGTTTGAGCCTTGTCTCTCCGCGGGGTCGCTCTGTCGGGGTGTGCGGGGAGCAGCCCTGTGCTCCGCTCCCCACCAGGCTTTGCTGCCCCTGAGCCCCCTCTGTTTGGGGGAGGTAGGAGACAGGAACCCCGGCGGTGCAGGGAGTGCTGCGGGTTGAAAAGCTGCTGCCAAGGGATGACAACAAAGAAATCATCAGCAGCTCCTGGCACAGCTCTCCCCGGGGCAGGGCTGGCTGGAGCGGCTGCGGCCGGCGATGGGAATGGCAGGAGCCAAGTTGGGAGCCGAAGCCACGTTTCTGCGTCGCCCGGTACGAGCCTGGCGCTCGTCCAGGGCTTGTGATCCTCACAAAGCAAAACACTTTGATTAGAGCAGAGCTTATTCTTTGATGCCAAAACCCCCCCAAAGCAGCTCAGAGCTTCAGTCTCTGCTCCAGCGAGCAGCTGTCGCTCTGCCGGGCCGGGAGCCAGCAGGCAGCGACACCGGGCACCACGGTCCCTGGAACGGGGCATCGCGTGAGGGAGAGGCCTCCTGCTTCAAAAACAGCTCCTTCTCCCCTCAGCCTTGTTTCCAGATGAAACTTCTGATGTTTGTTTGGAGGAGAGAGTTTCATGACACCTTTTTTTTTGGCTCCATCCTCTGCATGACTTTGCTCTTGGGGTGGTTTGGAGACAGTGGGAAACCTCCTCCTGGGAGGCTGTGGTCTAGGACTTCTGGTGGCCACTCTATTTCCTCAGGCCCAACTTGGGTTAACTGGGCAGTGCCCACTGTCCCAAAATCTTACTCAGCTCAGGAACTTCATGTTATTTTGCTGTTCTGTCTCTCGCTGCAGGAGGAGAAGGCCAAAGCCTACAAGAAGGAGAAGCAGAGAGAGAAGAAAAGGCGGGCGGAGGAAGATTTGACATTTGAAGAGGATGATGAAATGGCAGCTGTGATGGGTTTCTCTGGTTTCGGCTCAACCAAAAAGAACCACTGAGCAGCTCTGGACTCTCCTCTATCTTCAAACAGATTGTTTTTACCCAGGGGACTCTGGATAACTCTTAAAAGACTTGATTTGAAGACTTGTCTGTAAATCTCCCGGTAGAAGTTGGCTGGAGGAGTGGAAAAGCGATTCCGTGCTCTCCCCGTGCTGCAGAACAAGCGCCGCCCGTCGTTACCTTCCCTTCTCCTCCTGTGTCCCAGATCCGGCTGCTCCTGGCTGCTCCGTGGCCTCGTGTGCGCAGGGAGCTGTTCTGCTGGGTACCTTTCTGTGTCAATAAAACGCAACAGCTCCGTGCAGGTGGCCTGGTTCGGAATGAATCTCCTTGTCAACCAGGTGTCGTTGTTCTGGGCTCTCCTTGTTCTTCGCTGTCCCCGTGGCCGCGTGTCTGAGGGGCGGGGAGCGATGCGGGCTCTTCTGGGATCACAGAGGGGAAGGGGATGGAGGTGCCACGGCCGTGCTGAGCACACCAGTGGCTGCCTGGAGTCTGGGGCGCTGAAAACTTTCCTGTGTGTTTTTTTTTCTGCTTTTTCTTTGTGTTTTGTCCCATAACTTTGATATCTCGAAGGCGGGGGAGAAATCCCTCCCCGCGACTGATGTAGGATAGAGCGAGGGAAAGGAAGGTGCGTGCGATTTGCCGGAAATAAATGAATCTGTTTAATGGGTCCTTTGGTGGGAGTTTGATTCTGTCTTTGTTTTGAGAGCTGCTGCCTCCCGCCGAGAGGAGCTGCTGATGTCTCCCGAGCTGCGTGGAGGTGGTGGTGGCCTTTGGGGAACCTCAGTGGGGGCAAAGGCAAGGCTTGTCACCCCCTCTTTCTCGGCTCAGCTGCCAGCCCCCCTGCAGGCTGTTGCCATCATCCTCGGCTTTTTAAAGTGATTCTGGAGCTGGGTATAAAAACCTGGGAGGGAAAGGGAAAAAGGGAAGGGAGAAGAGGACAGGGAAAGGGGAGAGGGAAAGGGGGAAGGGAAGGAGGAGAAGGGGAAAGGGGGAAGGAGAAGGGGAAAGGGGGAAGGAGAAGGGGAAAGGGGGAAGGAGAAGGGGAAAGGGGGAAGGAGAAGGGGAAAGGGGGAAGGGAGGACAGGGCTGGGGACCTGCGTGTCCATTAGGAAATCCAAGAGCAGGCTGGGCTGTGTTCCAGAATTTACCAGCCTTAGTATATTAAGGGCCATTTTTTCCCTGTCTGCTGGCCACCGGTATCTTTTCACCTCTGCCCTCTCCTAAATCCACTTCATTTCTGCTTTTATTTACCTCCCTCAAACCTCGTGTGACTCATTCCCCTCTACAGTCGGGATTTATATTTTGGGTGGCTGGGTTTGGGGAGCTCTGTCTCGCTCTCCTCTCTCTTTTTATGTGTATTGATGGGATCCTTGCTCTTGCCCTTCTCCCTGCTCGTGTGGAATCTCCGACCCGAGGACGGCTGCGGTGTGTTTTTTTTGCCCGCTCTTTCTAATACGTCTAGAACAAATCCTGTAATGCTTTGCTGCTGTTTTAATTCCTTAATCTTAGACTGCTGACAGCTTCATTGCCTCGGGTCTTTCCGCTTCAATTCAGATTATAATCCCCGTTGAAGATGCTATTGAAATGATATATAGCCAGTCAGATACAGCTGTCCTTGGAGGTTTGACCCTTTTAACTCGGCAATCCTTCGGCTTCGGCTCCCAGCGCTCGGGCTGGAGGAGCCACTTTCATTCCAGCCACGTACCTGGGGATGTTGAGGCGGCAGCACGTGGCTGAACGGGAGAGCGGAGACGCTGGTGCCTCTGTGCCCTCCGGGGTGCGAGAGGGATGTTGCCGTGGTTTCAGACACATTAAAAGTTGAGGACGTTTCGGAGAAGATTTTAACCGCAGCCATTTTATCCCCAGCCACCGGCTCTGCAGCCAACCAGGCCCCCGCCGCAGCCGCAATTCGGCTGGGGCTTCTGGGGAGGGGGCTGCCCTGTGCCCCCCCTGCCTTGTCCCCAAATTGTGACCCTGGAGCCGGTGGCCGCTGCCTTGGTTTCCCCACGGAGCGTCCCACCGCATCTTGTCCATCCTGGTGTGAAATGGGCACCCCCCCCAAAAAAAATCCTCCCCGGAGAGAGGCTCGTGCAGCCTCCCGGAGCCCCCCAACCAGCCCCTTGTGGCTCTGCCCCCCGCTCTGCCTCCCGGGAGGTGGGGAGGAAATCCCTCTGTGGGGCGGGAGAAGGTTTAAATTAATGAGATTCCTCTTTGATTCAAGGCCCGTGATACCCAAACCCCTTCCCGAGGCCACCTGCACCCTCTGGGCTGAAGCCCCAGCGTCTCCACGCGCTGGTCCCAGCGCTGGGGCTGCTCTCTCCAGCAAAGGGGGGGTTTGGGGAGGGGGGGGGCAGCTCTTTGTCTTGCTGGGAGCAGTGGTGTGTGCGGCAGCAGATACAAGCTCCTGCTGGATTCCCAGCAGCGGGAGCTGCCTCCAGCCAAGGATGAAAAGCTGGTTTCATGGGAGGAAATAATATTTAGAGAAGAGAGGGATAACATTGCCTGCATCCACCGCCTTAACCCTTTGTGCCCAGCGCTGCTGGGGAAGGGGAAGGGGGTGGTGTTAACCCTTTCCTCACTGCCCCCGGTGCTGGAGAGGTGGTTTTCCGTGGCTCTTCCTTAGCACTCTCCATCTCTGTGCGGGGATGTAAGGCTGCAGATGCTGGATGTGCCTGCCTGGGTCAGGGCTTGGGGTTTTAATTAGAGGGAGGGAAGCCCCAGCTCTGCAGCTCCTATTCCTGCTTCCCTTCCCCCCAGCAAACAGGGCTGGGGTGCTCTGCGCCGGCTGAGCCCCACTTCACTCTTGCCAAAAAGGGGATGCAGCTCTTCCACAGGTTCAGACTGGGATCTGGTGGAGTAAGGAGGGGTGTTTCTTCTGGTTCCCACACCCAGGCTGGGGTATTATAGAATCATAGGATGGTTTGGGTGGGAAGGGATCCTCAAGACCATCAAGTGCCACCCCCTGCCCTGGGCAGGGACACCTCCCACCACACCAGGTTGCTCCAAGCCCCCTCCAACCTGCCCTTGAACCCCTCCAGGGATGGGGCAGCCACAGCTTCTCAGGGCAACCTGGGCCAGGCTCTCACCACCCTCACACCAAACAAGTTCTTCCCCACATCTCAGCTCCATCTCCCCTCTTGCAGGGTCAAACCCTTCCCCCTCCTCCTAGGGCTCCCCTCCCTGACCCAGAGTCCCTCCCCATCTCTCCTGGAGCCCCTTGAGGGACTGGAAGGGGCTCCAAGGTCTCCCCGGAGCCTTCTCTTCTCCAGGCTGAACCCCCCACCTCTCTCAGCCCCCCCTCCCAGCAGAGGGGCTCCAGCCCTCCCAGCATCTCCGGGGCCTCCTCTGGCCCCGCTCCCACAGGTCCATGTCCTTCCTGTGCTGAGGACTCCAGAGCTGGACACGGTGCTCCAGGTGGGGTCTCCCCAGATCGAAGCAGAGTGAGACAATCCCCCCCCTTGCCCTGGTGGCCACGCTGCTGGGGATGCAGCCCGGGCTGGGGCATCCTGCCTGGTCTCGCCGTTTGAGGAGCCTGGAGCCCAGCTTGGTGCGTGTTCTCAGCACCTGGGCTGGGGGTACAAGGCTCTGTCCTGGCCACGGAGCAGCTCCTCGTGACGTGTGGCTTTGGAGGACCTGGGGGGAGGATCTCCAGCTCCAGCAGACCCCCCTGCACCCCCCTGTGCCAGCCAGGCTGGGAACCGCGCTCAGCCTGAGCCGCGCTACTGCAGCTCCATCCTGTTAAATATTGATGGCGGTGTTTGGAGAAGCACTGGGGTGTCACAGCAGACACCAGAGAAAACACAAATCTGTCTTGGCCCCACCGCTTCTTCTCTCTCAACCATTTTCATCCCTGGCCACCTCCTGGGAGGGAGGGAGGCTTGAAGCCTCCTGGAGGGGCTGAGCACCAGAACCACAGCCTGAAGCTGTTTCCCCCTGCCTTTCCCTCCTTCAGAGGGACCTGGGAGGCTGCTGTGCACCCCCTCAATCCCTCCCTCTCCTGCTGTCCCACCTCCCCGTTGCTCTCTCCGGGTCCTGCTCAGGACTGGAGCAGCACCAGCCAGATCCAGCCCAGCATTCCCATCGTCCCGGTAGAGTGACTGGGATGGGGGACCTAGAGCGATCCCAGAGAAGAAGGGGTCCTGTGTGGGCCGGCTGTGGACCTGCTTCAGTGACTCTAGTAGCAGCATGGACTCGAAAAGACCTGGCTTTTCAGTGATTTATGCCAGTTTTACATTCCGCCCTCCCAAAACAGAGGTTTAAGAGCTTGGTTGGAGCTCCAGTCCTCCCACTGCTCAGACCATAAGCTACTGCTGCCCCAGTTAGGCAGCTGCTCTCGCCGTTGGCCATCCTTAAGCCAAACAGGTTCCATGGGCAATATCCCTGAAACCCTCACTCCTGGCTTGGCTCTGACCTGGTTCCATGGTGCCAGGAGGATGGACCACCAAAGCCCTGCTCTGCTGGGGATGGGGTGCGAGTCTCCTCGGTCTCCCACCCTCCATCAGCCGACCTTCTGCTGCAGCACCGTCCCACACAACCCTGGAGCCGCTATTTCTGCCCCCGCCAGCTCTACAGACACCCTGTTTCCAAAGTGTCACCCCCGGCAGTCAACCCTTGGCCCAACCTGGAACCTGTCCTGCGTTCCTCATCCGGGGGAACATGGTATGTCCCCGATTGTGGAAGATCCAACCCCTGGCTGGAGTGGTGTTTCCATAAACGGGAGCAGAAAGTGATGGAAGGCTGGGATAGGGGAAGGTAGAGCCTTGGAGAGGGGTGTCCTTGGGCTGGAAGTGGTTTACTTCCCAACTGGAGCTTGGATAGGAAACTTGGACACCCATTTTCCACAAAGGGCCAAGCAGGGAGCAGGGGACACCTGCAGCGAGGTGGTGCTTGCTGGTGGACACCTGCAGTGAGGTGCTGGAGACCTCAGCAAGTTGTGCTGCTCTCCACACGCTCAGTGCTCAGGACTGAGCCAGGTCGGGCCACAGATGGGGCCAAGAGGGAACAAACAACGCTCTTGGGTGCTCCAAAGTGGGAGGAAGGAGAGTGCCCCAGTGCCTCCCTCCCGTCCCAGTTGGATCTGCTGGAAGGATGGATGGTTTCTGCTGGGCTCGGCGGTGGAGCTCCCGAGCAAAGGAGAGGGAATTCTTTGTCGCAGGCAAAGCGAAAAACCATCATCAGGCAGAGAACAAACAGCTCCGGGCTGGAGAAGGCTCAGGGAGATGGGGCGGGGGGGGGAAGCAGGGGGAGCGTGGGGACAGGGCATCCGCAGGAGGTTTTTCGGGGACTTGTGATCTCAGAGCAGATTCCTGCCGGTGGCTGCGTGGCACCAACTCGCCTGTGCCTCCCCAAGCGCCCGGGGACGGGGGGAGCTCTGCGGAGGGCCCGGGGGAACACGGTCCCTGCTCGGAGAGCGTGTGATCTGCCAGGCAGCCGGGGAGCCCCGGGGGCACTGCCATCCCTTTGTTCCTCCTTCTCTTTCTTTTCCACCTTCAGATATTTTATTTTTTTTTTTTCCCTCTGCTTCCAGCCTCCTGCGTATGCAGCACTCCCCCCCCCCCTCTTTCCACCCACAGTTCCTGTCTTGATTTTCCTTCCCCTCTACAAATATGTGTTCCTTAGGCTCCCTCTCCTCCCTGCCCAGCTTTCACCACCAGCCTTTCCTCCCCAAA